ACTTCCAGTGAGATCAAATCTACACAGCAGTGGATTCAATACCATCACCCCAGTTCAAACTCTCGTAGTTCCAGCCGTTCTTAAGAAAAGGGACCTCTTAGTCTGCTCTGCCACTGGGTCTGGGAAAAGTAATGAATAATATTAGTATGTCTCAGACCCTATTGTATTTTCACAATACACTAGCATTGTCATTCTTGTTGCCTCTTGTCCAACTGATGACTCTATTACCAGCAGATCCTGTGGCATTGGTACTATCGCCAACAAGAGAGTTATGTCAGCAAATTGAGGAACAGGCAAAACTTTTAATGAAAGGTATCAAAGAATTATGAAGTATAATAATTCTGATTATTATTATTATTATTATTATTATTATTATTATTATTAATTACAAGGTATTCCTGGTATGAGAACTGCTTTGTTGATTGGTGGAGTGCCAATAGTGAACCAGTTACATCGACTAAAGTCAAATGTAAAGGTATCAATTACATCAACAATTTCTGAGACTTATTTACATTTTTTATTTATTTCTAAAAAATTTTTCTATCACAAATTCTAACAATTTTAATAATTTTTATTTATTTTCTTAGCTGTTGATAGCTACTCCAGCAAGACTATTGGATATACTAACCAATCATGGTAACAATGATCAGACCTGATTATACTGTACCTGCAGTCCTGCATATTTGTGGTGTCTGTAGGGAAGAGTTTGTGTCTCTCTTCAAGTCTGCAAGTTCTTGTAGTTGATGAAGTCGACTCTTTATATCAAATGGGGTTCGAGGAACAAGTGAGATTAGAATGAGATTAATTATGTAATTATTACAAGATTATTATTACTATTATTATTAATTAAGGCTGGTTTACAATATTATGCCAGGCCTGAGGTGATGCTGGAATAGAGTTTGGTTTTGATTAAAAATTGATGTTACAGGCCTAGTGTAATATTACAAACCTACCTTTACTGTTATTATTACATTTTCCCCATCATTTCTATATACTCCATTCTCAGTTACAGTCCATCAGTAAGCATCTTCCATCAAAGAAGCAAAGTCTTTTCTTCTCTGCTACCATTCCTCCAAAAATAGAGAGACTAGCTACAGAGACTCTTCACAATCCTCTCTTCATTACTGTTGGAACAGTAAGACCATTACACCTTGTGTTGTTGTACTGTATAGCAGGAAATTTTGGAGGGAGTTAAATTTGGCGAATTGCTAAATTTTGGTGATTGGCAAATTTGTGGCCACGTGCTATTGGGCATGCGTATAATGGCTCAAAATGGCAGATTTTAATTTTAGTGAATGGCTATCAAAATGCCAAATTTAACTACCTCCAAAATGTCCTTCTATATGGTATTAATTGCTGCTCTTTATAGCCAAACACTTCTAGTGTTAATGTGAGACATACTGTCCTTTGGGTTGAAGAGGAGGCAAAGAAGAAACATCTTTTTACTTTTCTCAAAGACAAGGACACATTCTGGTAAGAAGAAGTGATAGAGAATATTACATTTACTTTTAAATTTGTTTTTATAATGCCAAAGTGTATTAAGAACAATAAATGTGATGTATTTATTAACAATATAAATGTATTCATTATTTCTCTGTTTCTATCCAGTCCTCCAGTCATTATATTCGTTAACTCTCGTAAAGGTACTCTACTCTTAGCTGAGGCCATTGATAAAGTTAGTTCCTTCTTCTTTATGAGTTATTGTCTTGTCTAGGCTTGTGATGTGGCGGCCATTGCCCTGCATGGAGAGATGGAGCAGGAGAGGAGGTCGGCCATTTTGAGTGGATTCCTGGCTGGGAAGTATGAGGCAATTGTTGCAACCGGAGTATTAGCAAGAGGACTTGACCTTCACAATGTGAAACAGGTTAGAGTACAATACAATAGATGGGAGGGGAAATATTACCGTATAGCGGGAAATTTTGGAAGGACTAAAATTTGGCGAATTGCTAAATTTTGGTGATTGGCGAATTTTAGTTTGGCGAATTTGTGGCCACGTGCCATTGAGCATGCGTATAATGGCTTAAAATGGTGGATTTTATTTTGGCGAATGGCTATCAAAATACCAAATTCACTAAATTTAATCCCCTCTAAAATTTCCTGCTATACGGTATTAAGAGAATTGTGATTCTATTTTGTAGGTATTTATATTTGATGCTCCTTCAACGATTGATGAGTTTATACATCAAGTTAGCCCTGACACACCATGACTTTGTAATAGTAATATTGTGTATCTCTTGTTTGTTATTAGTATTACACTCTGTTTCACTCTTCTCCACTTCTCTCTCTCTCTCCCTCCCTCTCTCTCTCTCTCTCACAGGTTGGTAGATCTAGTAGATTGGGTTCCAAAGGTTGGGCTATCACCTTCATTAACAATACAGACAAAAGTATGTGTCCTTGTACTAGCATTCCTCACTTTATACACAAAATCAACAATAAAGCATGAGACAATAGTGTTCCAATGCTTGTTACTAATAATAAACTATGATCGTTCAATTATAAACAGTATCCCATTGGTGAAGGTCATGGAAATATTCATTTTTGTCTTTTAATGTGCTAGCGTGTTAGTGACCTTTTTCCAGAATCTTCACACAGGCACTGATTGAGCAATATGTGGCAAATTATCATTTGCATTCGTGCTAACTATGAGGAATTTAATCTTCCTAGCAGCTAGTGAGGGAGAGAGAGAGAGAGAGACAACTGGATTGTTTTAAAAAGGATACTAGAACCAGTAATTGGGATATTTCAGCTAAATTATTAATGATAACACAGAGAGTAT